AACTTTACTATGACTACTACTATGACTACTACTATAACTACTACTATGACTGCTGCTACTACTACTACTACTACTGCTACTACTACTACTACTACTACTACTACTACTGCTACTACGACTACGACTACGACTATGACTACGACTACTACTACGACTACGACTACTACTACGACTACTACTACTACTACTACTACTACTACTACTGCTACTACTACTACTACTACTACTACTGCTAGAATCGCCAAACGGGGGGGGCGTGTTTAGGATATATAGTCAACCGGAAACGCAAAATGCAGGGGCGTGTTCGGGATACATGATGAACCGGAATCGCCAAATGAGGGGTTTAGGGTTTAGGGGATTAGGGGATTAGGGTTTAGTGCGCGGTATATCATTACCGAGTCTTCATAAACCCTAAACCCTAAACCCTCCGAAAACGACTGAGTCAAGAGACAGGCTTGGCTTTTGCCACAGAATCGCTGGAGCCGCTGCGGTTCCTGGAAAGCAGGGCCCCTGATGACTCAGCACTTCCATGCCTTGAGGGCTTGGACGGGGGTTTAGGGTTTAGAGTTTAGTCTCCCTTGACTTTCACAGTTTGCTTTCCATCCGGGGGTTTAGAGTTTAGCCGCTTCCCCCCCCGTAAAATACTCAACACGCGGAGGGGAGGCCCCTTTAACCCCCTCTTCCATTCCCAAGCCCCCTAAACTCTAAACCCTAAACCCCAAGCCGGTACTCTAAATCTCGAAAATCACTTCGGGGAGGATCTTGGTCCAGTTCCGACTCCGGCTCTTGCTCCTACTCTTGCTTCTGCCCTTGCTCTTGCCCTGCTCTTGCTCTTACCTCCCCCCCGAATTTAAAGTAGGTGGTGAAAGGCGGTGATGATGTCAGGATGATTTTCGGAAAGTGCTGCTTGTATGGTTGGAGGGGTGTTTAGTGGATGGGGGAAGTGATTCGCCTTTGGGGTTCACGAGAGTTGTCATGGGTAGCTTGAAAGTGAGCGTGCATGTGCTCTCGGATGGCTCCCGCTACCTGTCTTAAGCCTGGCGCAGTGTCACTTGCACAAGTCAAAAGTCGGAACGGCTGAGTGATCAAATGCTACATTCCGGATTGGAACCTAAACCCTAAACCCCCCTAAACCCTAAACCCTAAACCCTAAAAAGCCTACACCCCGAGCTGAGGCAACCTGAACCCTTAGCTCCTTAACCCGAAATCCAAAACCCCAAGCCCTCACCCAAACCCCAAGCCTAGCGATCGGAAGAGTGCTCCCATACCGCCGAAATCGCGCACCGATGGCACAGGCGAAACTCGAAACCCTAAACCCTCAACCCTAAACCCTAAACCCTAAACCCTAAACCCTAAACCCTAAACGAAAACGGGGAGACTCCTTCATGCCCAGGGCTCAAAGCCCGTACTGGGCTCTTTTGCACGCTCACGGTAGCATAAAAGGGCTGTCAGGATTTTGTAACCCTAAACCCTAAACCCTAATGAGGTCTACGGACCCTAAACCCTAAACCCTAATGAGGTCTATGGACCCTAAACCCTGAACCCTAACACCGTATGAGGGTATGAGGTCTTTTTTGGGGAACTGCCGGTTCGAGCTGTCACAAGAGGGAGCCCACGTCATAGACCACAGGTCCATGCCATGGTGGCCTACATAAGGGTCCTCAACAAAAACCTTGTAGACGGAATCGCTCTTACGGCAGAACCTAGACTGACAGTAAACACTGAGTTATGCGCCCCGAGACCGACATACAACCATCCACAAACCCTTAGTCTAACCTTAAAACTTTTCATCCTAAACATACCCTAGCCCTAAACCCTAAACCCTAAACCCTAAACCCTAAACCCTAAACCCTAGCACTAAACCCAGCAACTCCGAAGGAGCCCTCTCCAGACGGTCCTCGGCGTCTGCTGCCTCAAGCTTTTACCCTGGGGGCTTTGCCATCGCTGCCTCTCTGATTCCAAGGACCTCAGCTTGAGGTGCTACAAGTTTGGGTTTCGGGTTTAGGGTTTA